ACTACCTAAACCACTATTTTAGGATCATCATAGCTGGATATTAATTTCTCTGATTCATCAATATAGTTTCTCTTCCTCCCTTGCTTAATTTCTTTTTTTTTTTTTTGGGTTACGGGCTATATGATCAAGGATCCTCGAGATCGCACCAGGGGCGAAGGACTTGTTCTCATTTCTAAGGGACACAGATGAAATTCCAGAGAACAATCCCAAGCTCAAGGCACACGCTGCCAGAGTTTTCAAGCTGGTATGTTGGCTTAATTCAATTTATGCTTTCATTTTCGTAATTAATTTTTGCCCACCAGCCGAAATGGCTGAATCGGTTCAAAATTCAAATGACAAACTATTTATCGAAAGAGACTTTCACTACCTCGTTATGTGTGGATATACTACATATAATTCCCCTGTTCCTTCTGATGGGTAATAACCAAAAATGATTGAACGGTTGATTGAAGCTGACTAGAATCCACCAACCACACTCTCATAATTTAATTTCAGGCATCTATCTATTGATTTGGAAATTCGAAAGAGAAGCATCGAGCAATGATTAACACGGACACGTACAAGTTTAACGGGTTATCATTCTTGGAGAGATTAGAAAAGCAGGAGAAATAGGTAGTAAACTATACCGTCTATAGTTTAGTCTACAAGTGCAGAACAAAAGTTAAAGATAAACATTTCAATTGAAGACCGCTTGCAAATTGATCATGCATATATTGCTGTAAATGTCCATTACAGTAATGATTATCTATCTCTATCAGTTAGTCAACTAGAAATATGACAAGGTTGTATACAACATTAGACTTGCGAATCAGCAGTGCAGCTGCGCGAGAAGGGTGAAGTGGTGGTTGCCGACACTACTCTCAAGTGGTTGGGATCTGTTCACCTCCGGAAAGGAGTTCTTCAACCCCATTTTGAGGTAATGGTTCTAAAGCTGGCTGTACTATTTTAATCTCCAGAACTGCAAGAAGTGTCCAGCATTAACATTAGTATGTGCGTGATTATGACATTCCAACCTTAAGTCATAAATAAGTAAAAGTCTTCAATTTATTCAAATTTCATCACGAAGCAATTGATGAAGAGATTTAAAGTGTGAAGTTTACGCGAGACATAGGTCGTGAAAGAAGCATTGCTGAAAACGATCGGAGAGGGCGTGGGAGAAAAATGGAGCGAGGAAATGAAGAATGCATGGGGAGAAGCCTATGATCACTTGGCAGCAGCAATTATGGGTGAGATGCAGGTTGAGGCTGCTGCTTCATCAAAGCCCATTGCATAACTGCCAAAGCAAAATCTACTGCAAGAATCTGTGTGAAGCTTCATCTGTGTAGGCGAGGCTTCTGTGACAGTGCTCATTGCTCAATCAACGCATGCATGCGTTATTGTAAAAATTGGCATGTCGATTTAATATATATATATATATATATATATGTATGTATGTATATATCAAAATGGAAAGACTACTGGTAGAGGTTTGGCCATTATATACATTAGGGAACAAGGTACAGTCTACATTTGTTCGATTCTTAAAATTTGTACGAAGGTGAAACAAATAAAACTAACATAATTTTTATGCCACTGCAAAAGAAAGAAATAAAAAGCACTACAACAAGGAAAATTTCCAAAATCAACTCCATTTATTTGAACTTGTTTTTCGTAAACCTGTTTTTACATAATTTAGAAAACATGTTTTACTGTCACGCTTTAACGCACAGATAATTAATTGGTGACATCGACAGGATGTTGCATCGCAAGGTCTTCCAGCTAAGTCATTTCTTCTTCTTCTTCTTTTTTTTTAATTATACCAGCGTGTCACATCAAAATTTAAAAATTCATACAATCAAAATTCACCGACACAATATCGGCCCTGTTTGGAAGCTTGGTTTTTTACCAAGTTTGTATAAAACTAGTTTTTTAACAACTTTTGCTACAGGAACCCCAAAAAACTTATCAAAATTTTTAACCTACACACTTAAAATATCCAAAACACAAAAAAAAAAAAAAATCCCCTTCCCCTTTTCTTCTTCTTCCTCCCCCACCACCACCTCCATTGCCGGCTCCATCACCAATTTCCGGTGCCGGTGCGGTCTTTTTTTTTCCCTTTTTTTTCCCTCTCCCCCTCTTCCTCCCCTACCATCATCCTCTCTTGTCTTTTTTTTTTCTCTCTACGTCCGGCGCAGAGGGGGGTGGCATTGATTCCTTCATAGACTTCAACTATTTCTAGCCTATATGTGAATGTAACCATTTTGTTATATTTGTCCTCAGGAAGATGAGATAAAATCTTGGAAGAAAGGAGGTAACGGGGAAGAAGAAGAAGAAGAAGAAGAAAAAAAAAAAGAGAAAAAAAAAGAAAAAAGGAAAGAAAGAAAAAGAAAAAGAAAGGGAAAGAAAAAAAAAAGTTTTTCACCTTACAAAAACTTCTACAAAATTTTTCACCTTACAAAAATTTCTACAAAATTTTTTTAAAAACTTCTACAGTGCACTACAGTAAAGTTTTAGACAAACTCCAAAAAAACTCAGGGCTTGTTTGGAAGCTAGTTTTTTGCCTAAGTTTTTTACCTACTAGTTTTTTAACAACTTTTGCTACAGGAACCTTAAAAAACTTCTCAAAGTTTTTTATCTACACACTTAAAATATCCAAAACATAAAAAAAAAAAAAAAATCCCTTCTCCTTCTTTCTTCTTCCTCCCCACCGAACCCACCACCTGCATTTGAGCAACCTCTCAACAGCCTCTCTATAAACTCCATCGCCTCTGAACGCCCCCATCGCCAATCCCACATCCCCGCTTTGCTCCTCCGTCTCACTCCCTCCTTCGCGACCACCACATCCACTAGCATTTATGGGCCTCACAACAACCAACGTCGCCCCTTCCAATTTCACCCCATTTGATAGCTCCATCCGCGCCTCGTGCTTTATCCTCATCCTAATTGCAGGCACAGTCGTCCGGGGGGAGAGGAGTGGCGGGGGCAGAGGGGGAAGGGGCTGAGGGGGTGGCGGGAGAAGAGTTGCAGGGTAGAGGGCGGCGGAAGGGCTGAGGGAGTGGAGGGAGAGAGGGAGAAAGGATGCCGTGCTGCATAGGGAGTGGCGGGGAGGATGTATGAGGCGTGGCCGTCCAAGGGGCGCGGGCAGAGGGGGCGTAGGAACGGGGAAAGGAGTGGGAGGGGGGGTGGTGGAGATAGGGGAGGAAAGGGTGGTGGCGGGGGAGGGAGAGGGAGGGGGAGAGCGAGAAAAGAAAAAAAAAAAAAAGAGAGGTGGTGCTAGCAGAGGAGCGGAGGTGGGAGGCAGAGGTAACGGGTAAGGGGAAGAAGAAAAAGAAGAAGAAGAAGAAGAAGAAGAAAAATGAAAGAAAGAAAAAGAAAAAGAAAGAGAAAGAGAAAAAGAAAGAAAAAGAAAAAAAGAAAAGGAACAAAAAATTCACCCTACCAAAACTTCTACAAAATTTTTCACATTACAAAAACTTCTATAAAAAAATTTTTTACCTTACAAAAACTTCTACAAAAATTTTTTAAAAACTTCTACAGTGCACTACAGTAAAGTTTTAGACAAACTCCCAAAAAACTCAGGTTCCAAACAGGCCCTCAGATTCCAAACAGGCCTATCATTTGCGTAATGGACATGTTTGATTAATTGGCTCGGAACGTAGGCTGCAGTACCTTTTTGCCATGTGGCCGAAGGCCACTGACTGCTCGAGAGAGATCGGGCCCACCAGGATGAACAGTCTATTGGGTAGAGTAGCGAACAGTGCCCGGAGGCATTGTTGAAATTTGAATTTAAATTGAAATTCGCCAGGTGCCAAATTGTGGCCAAGCCAAGAAATGAATTGACACCTACAATGGTAAGCTCGATCAGTCTTGAGCATTAGTCTAAAAGAACTTTATGTGGTCATTTTGTTAACGAAAAAAGAAGATAAATTTCAGATGATAAGAAATAAAACAAATATGAAACGCAAAAGTTTCGGGGTTTGGATTAGCCACTACAATCAAAGATGCATAGGCGGTCAAACTTTTCAACAAGTTTTGTCACCCACTTCTATTAACTAAATAGGGTCCGTTGAGTAAGCATAATTGACAAAAAAAAAAAAAAAATTATTCAACTTACATCATAAACATAATTTTCAAACACCTTTTTAGCTCATATATATTACATTACAAAAATATTACAATGTTATTCGAAACAATTTTTTCAAATAATCTCCTATCCAATCTACCATCATTTTCATCGACATCTCGTCGCTTTATTATTATCCAATCATGTATCGTTATAAGTTACTTAAAAGTGATTAAAACTAGTCCTTCAGTGCGTGCAATAGGACTGATTGGAGAAAGAGAAGCATAAGATGCAAGTCAGGAGTTATCCAGCTAGTACCTTAATTATATTAACGAATCCCTCAAACTAATGTGTGACAAACAAATTCCATTCATGAATTTAACAAATCTTTCCTTTTATGAGTAACTCCTCAATCTAAATTCACAGACTCTTCCTTGAACCGCTTTTATGTGTAACTCCTCAATCTAAATTCACAGACTCTTCCTTGAACCGCCTTAATTAAAGATTCAAGAGTGTCTCTTTTACAACTCATGGATTCCCTTTCTTCAATATCTAAAAGAATTATGGACCTCTGTTAAACTCTTCGCTTCTTGACATAGCCCTCGTGACCCCTGCCAGACTTTTGGTACCTTTTAGTCCAACGCTAAAAAACATGGAACAATTTATTGGTCCATCACTGCCAAAAAAAGCTACTTGCCAAAGAGTAGTTTAAGCTCATAACAAAAAGTTCTAATTTCTTAGACTGATTAAACTGATGAAGGTGGCTTTTTGGGCTAATTTCTTAGAATATTTGTATTAAAAAAAAAACCAACCGTCAAATACACCTCTGACATGAGATATTTCTCATTCTATAGCTGTCGTGCTGACTCAGCACGACAGCATAATTAAAAATACCCCTGCAATCTCACTGCAGACGTCTGCAAAAATTTCAGTGGGGCAACCGTTGTCAGACGCAGACATGCTGACTGGGCACGTCTACGGCCGACACAAATCATTACTTTCAAATGTCAAATGCAGACATGCTGATTCGGCACGTCTGCAGCCGACACAAATCAGTGGCAGTCTGTTTGTGTCAGACGCAGACATGCCCAGTCCGCACGTCTGCGTCTGACATTTGAAAAAAAAAGTTGATGCATTGCCATTTAGAACGTCACATAAGCTGGGGGATGGAAATGACCTTCATCGTTAAAAATGGAAAGCATCCGTAGGAAAAATTGCTGCCTCCACCTCCCGACATGCCACTTTGCTAATGTTGCTTAGACAAAATATTACAAGTCTTGGAATACTATGGTTTGCAGCGGCTCTAAAGTCAGCTTGTCAGTGAGACACAAAAATAATGTAAACTATGAATGACACAAAGAATCCGGTTTCCAACTACGGTTTCTTTCTTTAGTATTTGCAAGTAATCTTAAGTAGATGGTGTGACTTCAGTCTCGTGAATAATAGTTTTTGGCACCTTCAAGAATGATACAAAAAAAAAAAAAGAAATAAATCCATGCATCAAATGCAGGATGTAATATGTTACTAAAGAAAAAAAAAATGCTTAATACGTTATTTTAGTTCCTTTTTTTTTTGTTTATGTTTGATTACATTTTGAATGAAATCAAGTTTACACTTTATTGTGTAATTCATTGTGTTTCAATTACGGTGGTAATTATTAATACAAAAGAACCTTCAGTTATCTTTAGTTATATTTGTATAATGATGACAATAAGTATAAAACAAAAAACTTCCTAACTAAAACTCTTTATCCACCCAGAGTTGGTAAAAAATATATTAATACTATTGAAATAGATTGATACTGACGAATACAAAGAAAATATGAATCAAAATCAAAGAAAACAAAAACTACAAATCAACATAAACGAAAAAAAAATTACAAATAGGATTAAAAGAAAAGAATGAAAAGGATAAACCCACCTGCATCTTTGCTGATGAAGTTGCAATTACGAAGATGAACAGCCAATTAGGAATAATTAAGGTGGAATTTTTTTGTCCCATTATTAACAAAAGTGAACACTCAAAAAATTAATACTATTGGCTGCTCTGACGCTCAATGTCTCCGTATATTGTTCTCCTTTAACACTTTTTTTGTATAAAAAGCATAGTATTACGTTTTTACTATAACAAAAATATGAGTATTCAATTATTTTGGTTAAATATTATAGATCAATATTTGATTCGTCAAAGTTTGAGTTATAAATTATTTACAATAGTTCAAAAAATGTTTTAAAATTATATTAGATCCATAGTTTCAATGTAAATAATATTTTCAAAAACCACTTTAAAGAAAAAATTATAAAGTTAACGTGTTAACAATCAATATTTTACAAAATACCTTATTGAAATGGACATATAAAATTTTGAGAGAATATAATCATGTGCAAAGCACTTGAGGTATTACTAATATAGCAAATCTAAAAATAAATTGATGTAAAAAATCAATGAATATAATAATAACATTGCAACATCAAAACATATTCCATCCATCTTGATTATTAGTAGTACAACCCAATAAATCTGTGCACGTGTTTTACTTGTTAGACGTGATGAAAGAATACAAGACCAAATAGAAACTTAGATCTGATGTAAAAGATGTAATAAATTCCAGTCCAAAATCATTAGCACTATCTAAAATCACTATTTTAGGCTCGTGATAGCTGAATATTGTGTCTCTTTCTTCCTTGAATAATTTCTTTTCTCTTGCCAATTTCACGGTTAATATCTTGTTGCTACATGGTTAAGGATCCTGGAGAAAGCACCAGAGGCAAAGAACTTGTTCTCATATCTAAGGGACACCGATGATCCACAGAACAATCCCAAGATCTGGGCACATGCTGCCAAGGTTTTCAAGATGGTGTGTTGGCTCAATTCATTTTCTGTTGTCATTTTCGTAAATTTTGCCCGACTTTGCGAAATGGCTAAATGGATATTACCATAAGCAACAATAATAAATTTATGTTGTCATTTCTTGTCTTCCACCATCCCTATAAACAACGAGTGTTCAATTGTTCATCAACCTGGCGTATGCTACTACCACAACAGGAAAGGTTGTTTTTAAACTGAAAAAAATAAACATTGGGTCGTGTCTATCTTCCATGATTTGTTGGTATTCCATTTTTATGCTTCATCAATTTTAAAAGCACCATAACTTTTAAGACTTTTGGCTCTGAATCTTCTTCTTTGTTTACTAGTATTTTTTTTTTCTCTGAAGAGCTATACCCTTGAACAATTTTTTTCATTATCTCGTTGATGATGGTTTCCACTTTTTCCTCTACAAGTATGATGGACTATATGGGTGCATAATGCACTTATATGATCCGATGGTGATTCAGTTCCCGTCGATTTTCCGTGGTTCTGTTGGGTTATCCCCTAGAGTAGGTTAAAGTAGGAGTAGATAGAGGACGACAATTGATTAAAAAAAAAAAGTATGATGGACCATATTGTTTATTCTCCTATTGTGAACTGTTGATCCAAATCTGACAAAGACCACCAATTACACTCATAATTATATTTCAGGCATCTCTATCTGTCGATATTAAAATTCAAAAGAGAAGCATTCAGCAATGATTAACATGGGCATGTACAAATTTAACGGGTTGTCATTCTTGGGGAGATTAGGAAACCAGTAAAGCAATACGAGTAATTATTGTTTATGGTTTAGTTTACATGTGGATACCAAAATTAATTGGTGAAGATATTCCACGTACTTGAAAGCACTTGCAGTGCTTGGAAGCTAGATCTCAAGATCCTGCAAATTGTTATGGATATATATTTAAGTAGAAATCTGACAAGGTTGTATTGTACACGAGATCAGACTTGCGAATCAGTAGTGCAGCTGCGTGAGAAGGGCAAAGTGGTGTTTGCCGATACTACTGTCAAGTGGTTGGGATCTGTTCATCTCCAAAAGGGAGTTCTTAAATTCCATTTTGAGGTACCACTAGTTCTAAAGCTCTGTCCTAATGCTAATAGTGGTGTCTCTTGAATTTTGATGGAGTGTAACTGATAGATATATTAATTATATGCTAATGTGGAAATACAAAATCCATTCTTGATCATAATTTAACAAGCAAACATGTAGGAATCACTTCATTCAAAGTTTTTATTACGAAGCAATTAATAAAGAAAGTAATAAATTTGTCAATTTTACGTGAGACATAGGTTGTGAAAGAAGCATTCCTGGAAACAATCCAAGAGGGCGTGGGAGAAAACTGGAGCGAGGAATTGAAGAATGCTTGGGGAGAAGCCTACGATCACTTGGCAGCAGCAAGTCAAGGTGAGATGGAGGCAGAGGTTCGTTAACGTCCAGATGTAAAATCTATGCAATGACCAGAAATGTTTGTGCCGGCGCGTGGTATCTTTTTTTTTTTTTTTTTTTGAAACGATATTTGATTTTATTGATGTCAAAAGCTGTATAATTGCGAGCCAGGGTTTGAGTTGAAAATAAAGTCAGTGAACTTGACACTAACGAAGTAAGATTTCCTCGTCTAGCGTAATACCTAAGGCAAAAGAGTTAATCTTAGAGATTATATGATTCTTATCACTTCTAACTAAACAAAAGGAGCACATTTGAAACACCACTCTTAATTGAAGAATATCTTCCATCAAAATCTGTTGTTGGCAAGAGTGTGGTATCTGTTTAGTTAAAATTATTGCATGAAGTAAATTTGTATTTGTTGATTTGAGTTGCAAATTTTGATTGTTTTATAAGCAAATTATGCATTTTTTCTGGGTTTATTTTTTATTGTTTAAATAAAATTTTTGGATATTTTAAAAAAAATATTATGGTTGTTATCTAATTGTAATTTTTTTACCATCTTTTTCTTATGAGAGTTACTATTTTAGTTTTTCTTTCATGCTTTTTGTTAATTTCGTCCTGAGCCTTTGTGTTTTTTCTGGAGCAAATAGTTGTATGTCAGTATGGCCATTATCTTTTTGCTATTTTTGCTTGCGAAATGTTGGCAAAAGACAAATTTGAATTGCTCTTTGGAAACTTCGTTTTTGAGTGAAGAAATAGCTCAAGGACAGGATTTAAATCTTCCAACGCAAACCAAAGGAAGTTTACAAAGAAAAAAGTAATAGACATGTCCAAAAAGGCACCAAATAGCTGATCAACAAAACAATATAACAGGAAAAACTTAAGACAGTGACTTAAAGCTTAGAGATAAGTAAAAATAAGATAAAAAAAAAAAAAAAGAAGAAGCAACAGGCAAGAAACCAAACAGCAACAAAGATTGAATGTAATGTACACACTATGTATAATATATAGTGATGTACATACTAAAGATGCATAAAGAAAACAAAAGAAAGGCGGGAAGAAAAAGTGGAAAACCTGAAGAAGCAGGTTGAAGTTAAAAAACCAATGCAGATGAAGAGAAAAGAGCAAATGTCTTCTGGCGCTCTTTTTTCCCCCAGTAAAACTGAAACCAAATACTCCCTCCGTCCCACTTTGATAGTTCTGTTTTCCTTTTTCGTCTGTCTCAAATTGCAGTCCACTTTTCAATTGAAAAATGTAGTCGTATTTTAATTTTTCTAAAATACCCTTATTCAATATAAGTTGTTGCTACTATAAACTTACCTCATTTAATGAGAGTTGATTCTTTTTTAACCATCAATTCAAGTTCCCATAATGTTGTACCATATTTAATATGGGGGTATTTTAGAAAAATAGCAATCTAAATTTATTTTTTCAACAAAGCTAACTACTTTTTTTTTAAACTGTGTGAAAAAAGAAACAGGACTATTAAAGTGGGACGGAAGGAGTATTAGGGTTGAGTGATAAGCAAATCCCTAATTGGTCCGTGGAACTTGAACCTGGAGATTGGGCTTTTCCTTTGCCAATGGGATGGGAGTTGCCGAATGGCAGTATTGGGTAGATTTAAGCTCAAGCCGGGGTCCACGCCAACGACTGATTGCCCAATCTAGCACTACCGACATACATTACGAAATAAAATATAGCCAACGACTGATTGCGCGCAGAACTTGACTGATTGCGCGCAGAACTTGACTGCAAATTTATGCACAGAATCATGACTAAACTAGGGCTTGTTCTCGGTTGTTTTAAATTTTACAAAATCTGATTATAGAGAATAATCAGAATTAGCAAAAAATACTCTTTAAATGATTATAGTTTTTAGCTTTTTATTGATTTAAAAAATCGATAATCAAAATGCAAAAAAATTAAGAACATCATAAAAATTGATTATCTAAAATCAGTATCTGTCATCAACCGAGGAGAAGCCCTTATTCAATTAGTTGGTGACGTAGATAGTACTCATATTAATTGGCAGTTTGCAAGGTCTTCCAGCTAAGTTATTGCGATCCTATAGTCATATAATTTTTTTTAAAAAAAAAAAAATTGCTGCAATGAAAATTCACCAGCATATGTGATGATATATATCTTTGTGAAAGCTCCAATGGCCACCAAGCCAAGGAACTTAGGGCTGCAAACGAACCGAGCGGTTTGGCTCGCGAGGGCCTCGAGTCAAGTTCGAGGTCGAACTCGAGTTCAAAATATTAAACTCGTTAGGCTCGCGAGCTCGAGTATGTATATATATATATATATATATATTATTTTAATAGTAAAATTACATATATTCTTAATATTTTATTATTTATTAAGAAAAAAGTATTATTTTATTTATTTTTTAAAAAATAAAATAATTATTTTTTATTTTTTCGAGCTCGAGCTCGAGTTTGGCTCAAATCGAGTCAAGTTCGAGCTCGAGTTTTAAATTGTTAGCTCGTCAAATTCGAGTTCAATAAAAATAAGTCAAGACTCGACTCGATTAGGTCAAAACTCGACTCGACTCATTTGCAGCCCTACAAGCAACGAAAGATATTAATTGAAGTGGGGAATGGGAGTGGACGCGGAATGGTAAACAGACTTAATCTTGGACGCTCATCCAAAAGAACTTCAGGGGGTCGTTTTGTAAACCACAAGAGCAAATAAACACTCCAATTTTCAACTGATAATAAGATACAAAGCAAATTTGAAGCGGGGGTTGGATTAGCCACTACAGCCGAAGGCGCCTACACGGTGAAATTGATTTGTACCTTAGATCTGCACGGTGAAATTATGATTTGTTTTCTGAAACTCTGCATAGTATATATTGGTTTTTTCTTTTTTAGCTTTCATACTCGAGAGAATGATATTGACAAAATACGGACGAAACTTATTTATGTACCTTGGATTGGCGCAGCAACTACCGTGAAATGGCGAGCCAGCAGCCAAGGAGTAGGACCAAGCAAGGTGGTCGCGCGACTGGACTACCAAACATTCAGATTATTATCAATAAATAAAGTCCGTATTGTCTCTAGTTGGATTCAACTTTAAGACTTTGAATCTTCAAACTGTCCAAGGCTGAATTACACATGCATGGGAAATTCAGACTTCAGAGTTTCAGTGCGGACGGATTCAGTAAATAAATTTCCGTATATATATGGCCACCACCAAAAAAGCATTTAAGGTTTGGTAAGGCTTGGTGAGACGAGGAGTCAGGATTCAAACCTTATTTCTTATTATTTACCAATAAAATGTGACGGGTCACTTTAAGTGGATGCGTAGTACACTGGTTTGGGTCGATAGATGGTTCAATTTCCTTCGATTTTCTTTTGAATCTCTTCAGGTCCCCTTTTCTATAGTATAAAATAAATGTAGATCTATCGTGTCTGGCAAAAAAAAAAAAATAAATAAAAAATCAGGGATTGGCATTCATGCAAGCATGTCCAAGTCCATGAGGTCATTCATGATTCAACCTATATGCAATTGACCATTACCAAAGGGCGGGGATGAGCAAGGGAACCCATTTGGTCAAGGTAGGTAGCCACCATAAGCCCACACAAATCTAATCAATCCAACAAGAATTAGTCATTACTCATTACTAATTATGGTCTAGAAGCTATCGCGATGATCTTCACAGTTTGGCCAGTGGCCTGTGGCATTTGCTGTATAAGATGTTACGTGCAGGTCGATTGCTATTGCTAGGCTGGGAGTGTCGATTTCTTGCCAAAAGTTGCTCATCAGGACCATTAACGCGCAATTCTATGTGCTCAAGCAACCTTCGGTGCAAGTTACAGCGATTAGTTAAATCAAAAATTGATGGACATATCAGCATAAAAAGAAAAAAACAACGTCATTTGATACAGAACTCTTATTGAATTGCCATTCCTAAATGGTAATCCATCAATTTTAATGCGTGTGTGTTGCGTTCTACTTTTCTACATTTGCGGCCAATTCATTAATCAGTCAAACTTAATAAAAATAAAAGAAATTAGGATTAACAATTAACTTGTCATTTCATATATTTGAACCCCACCAGTGTATTTCTAATAGCAGCATGACGTATTAATTCAAATAACTAGGTCTAGTAAAGTCGCTATTGGTAATTATTTCAGGTAACTTAAACACGAGTTTAATTAAATATTATTGAGTGTGTTTGGATATATAGTAAATTATTCAGACAAATTTATTTGTTTGCATCACAAATCAATTTTTTAATTATTTTTTTATCTCACATATCATATCAAAAAAATATTACAGTATCTGTTTTTAAAAAATTATCGCAAATAATTTCTTGTCCAAGCACACTCGTGACAATTGGATAAGGATTAGGAAGCTTAGTGAGACAAAATGGCTCACAGCTTTCAGTGGATGTAATTGTAGGCCATGCAATGAATGAAAGGCAATGGACAAATGATTTTTCAGCGGGGACTTGCTTGCCATTCCCTCCCGAAAACCAGACCTAATTATATGTATATAAATATGCTGCTAGATACGTTCTGAAAAGATGTTCTACAATTGTGGCTGTTCCTTTCTAGTCATAGATTTTTACTCAAAATTTTTTGTCCTTGTAACAGGCTCTTTGACTTGAGAGGATCGGGGCCATCAGGCAGCGTGGGACCCATATGCTGTCTCTCGAGATGCTTAGATTTGGCTGACGTGAACATTTCGAAATTAATCACGTCCATGTATCCCATAACCAATTAATATTTTTGGACTCAGATTCGAGAGTAAACGAAAAGCTTTTAATTTGCGGTTTGACCGGTTCAATTTCAGTTCAAAGATTTAAGCATTTTTTTATTTTAGTGTCAAAAAATTGATAAAATTGAAATATTTATTTTAGAACATAAAATTTTAATAAAAATCAATTAAACCTTCCAATTTTTACTGGTCCAACTAATTCTTGACCAATTCAATTGATTCTCTGGATTAATCATGGAATCAGACCGAACGCATGATCAGTTCCTGATTCAATCGATCGAACCGACTGATTCATCTGATTTTCAGAACATCGCCTATAACTTGCTCATTAGATTAGTCAGTCATGACACAATTACTAGAAGACTTTGTTTATGAA